GCTTGAAGATGGGAATAGTGCAGCTCAGCTTTTAATACTGATTATTTGAAAGATTTCATCCAGCATTATCATTATCATTTGAGATTAACCATAAATCACTCTCTATCATGGAACTCTGCCCTTTGAACCTCGATTAACGACACCCCCCGAGGCGGGTAATTCCATTGTATCCACACACAATTTGGTTTAATTTCAGGCCCATCAGATGCATTCTCGATCTTCTCGACCCTCCCGCTCTTTTCCTTGATCACTCTGCACCGCCATAGGGGAAATTCCGAGCTGTCAGAAAGGGAAATTGCAGTAAATCAAATCCTTGACTTTGGGAATGGCAAAGGCGAAGGACGATCGACCCTCCACATTTCGCTTTTAGTTTCCATGGCATGTCGCACATGCTGGAGCACTATTTATAACACCGAATCCCCTTCTCGGGAGAATCGAGAACTCCCCTCCATCGACTCTTCGCTTATCGCTCTGTGGTTCATTAATATCCAAGAATCCGAGAATCCGAGAGGCAGAGCAAAGAGAAGAAGACACAAGACTGCACAATTAAATCTGGTAGAGAAGATGTATCTACAAGTTACTCTGCCACTTCCATTCCGGAGTTGATAATAAAAATTCCTCTCGCTCCTCATCTTTTCGAGGCGCTTCGTGCTCGTCTATTCATAGAGTTGTTTTCTAGTCATGATGGAATGGCTTCGGTTCGTATTTTTAGATGCGCACAGCAGTTGCATTGCGCCTTTGAAATGTATCTGGCGGATGCATCCTAGTGTCTTAACATCTTAGCGACCATGCCTAATTCAAGAATCACCAAGATTCTACATCTCCGCCAAATGCAAAGAAAATACCGAAAATAGCTCGAGTCCAAATTGTCACTCTGGACTTGGCACCAATTCAGAGTGCAATTTCCCGTATCCCACAGATACTTTCGCGGCTATGGCATTCCACGCGAGTTAATCACCTCAATTAAAAGGTGGCCAAGAGTTTGGCCAATAAACTTTTAAGCACGCCAGAGTCTTGCATCCATTTCTGTTTAAACTATCAACTATCACCGTCTTGATCTTGATTCTTCGACTAATATTAGCTAGATCTTTTTCTATATTTAGACACCATTTAGTTTTTAGCCCATTGATGATAATACCAAGTTTTCTGTTTTAAGTTCCACTTTATAATCGCTTTATAGCCTAATAGCTTGAAAACTGAGATGAGGCGGTGGCCGAGAGAATCCTAAACCGCTTAGTGAGTAAGCCAAACAAGCTCCGTGGACACCTCCCTGGGACACACCCCTTCTCTATCGAGAAACTCTAAAAAATGCGAAACTATTTGAGCAACATGCGAACCGGTTCTCAACCAACTCGCTGTATAAATTTTGTGTTTTGTCTAGCGAATTCAAGGTTAATTTTAAATGCGAAATAAATAACGCTCAGACTTACAAATAATTTCCGTTTAGGACAAAGACTTTAATTTAGTGCTGGAAAAGATGGAAATTAATTAGCGGCCGGCTAATGATCGACTTCGGCAGCTGACACAGTGGCCAAATGAGATTTTCGTTTACAGATAGTTTGACATAATTTGTAGGCGTGTTTTCCTAACTCCGCCCCCAACGACTTGGGGCGACTTGGCCAGAAAAACATGCAACAAACAGTTGCATGTTCGTGTGCGTCACAAGAAGCTGAGGGGAGAAACACAAACTTGATGCGGAAATGCAGATAAAAAATCAAAAGACGGAGAAAATTGAGAGAAAAACCTTTGGAAAATTAATGAGCTGCAAACAATGCGGACATCGTTAGGGGAAAGATTTTTTCGGAAAAACTCAAAAAGGAGAAGGGAGAAGGCAACAGGCAGAAGACGAGGGAGCGAGGTCAATATTTGGACACCGAAAATACAGAAAAAAGTAAAAGTTAGCCACTGGTAAAAAGGGAAAGGGGAATCTTCATCTCAAACTGATAAACAAATTGAAAAGCCTTTATTGATTCAGACACACGTCTGTCAATGAGATCCAATTTCATTTATCAAACCCAATCAAAACAAAACCAGCGAGTGGAAAACGTGAAGGAAAATTAAAGATTATACAGTACAGTCTTAAATATATGATATTAAATCAAGTAACAATAACAACAAGTATTAAAAACTATTTAAAACTAGTTCATCGAAGGGAAATCTAAGCCAAGGCAACACAGCTATTACAAAAATGATGGCTGCAACCGTAAACACCAGGTAAACGTTTCGCTTTTCATTTTACACCTTCCACCAAAACACAGCCATCAATTGCCTCTCCCCTGCACCCTTCCCCATTGACCCTTCATTTTCCGCTGCTTGTAAACAAATCAAAAAGAGGCCAATCCATATTGGCAGAATGAAGTGGAACAACCAACAAGAACAACAATAACAACCATTGTTTAGAGATGAAATGTTTACGGAACTTCGACAGGCGATTGCAAAATCTCAAACGAAAATGGAGATCACTTAGGGAAAATCACAAGAAGAGACTTCCAATGCTTGTGCTGAAAAAGAGTACTTAGTGCGGGAAATGTTGCGAGATGAGTTCGACCGTGTATATAAAACTGCTAATTGTAAACTTTGCAAGGCGCTGGAGGAGGGGAATACCAAATGAGATCATGCCGCGGAGCTTGCTCAGCGAAGCCAGTGAATCAATGATCAGGAATGCTGTAATTAAACTGAGGAGGAACATGACGGGTGGAAAATAACAGTCGGAGATTGGAGGAGAGTGTGGCAGAGATATAACACCACTGGAAATGAGGGGGATGAATGTGATGAGGGGTGTGCATTAATGCAATAAAGGGTGGGTCAGGGTGAGCTTCAGAAATGAGAGTGAACAAAGCAGAGAGAGCTCTTTTTTCTCAACAATGTTCGTTACAAAATGCTGATTTTGTCCTAAGAATACCATTTTCTAGAAACCTTATTCAATGCTGTACTCAATCAGTTAATTGAATATAATTTGAAAATATGTTACTTTAACAAAGGAAATTCAACTTAATAGTTGAAAATCGGATAAAAACAGAAAACATTATCATCAAAGAAAAGAAAATAAACTTTTAATGAACATAATCATGGAGTAACCAGAGTTTTGAAGTTTCATTCCCAAATTAGTTCCGAAATGAGGAAACAATGGTCAACAACTCGAAAGATGATCCGGCAAAACTTCTAGGGCCATGTTCTATTTATCGAATAGAACTACAAAACTTCAAGATGTTTTTCTGACCTTAATTTGGCTTAGAAAAAATTACAGGAAAACAGTTGGTGGAAAGTAGGAATGCACTCAATTATGTTCATCGAAATCGAATATTGGGAGATTAGATATTGACAATCATTCTCTGGCTCTATTTTCTTTTGTATTTCCTTAAGATTTCTATAATTTTGAACTTCCTTCTAGATGATGGGCACTTCTTTGTCTTCTTTTTCCACATTTATGAGCCGCTAAAAGTGTGGGAGAGAGATTGGGACCTGAAAACTCATCATGTCTTCGGCGCTGAGTCTTCGGCTAAGCAATTTGGCTCTATACTGACCTAAACCATCCCACTACTAATGAGCCATTAACACGCTTATCTCGCAGGAGGAAGAAACATGGCTAAGAGTTTGACGAGACCTGGCCAAAATTGGCCACGCACATGAGATGGGATTTTGATATTTTGGCCCAGAGAGACTCGGCACGTGAGCGTTAAATGCCAAAGCACTTTGGGGTTAAGCTGGGGAAAATGAAAATGAAAGAGCCGAGCGGCGGCGCGAGTGGAAAATAATATGAATTTCCTCAATTAGATTTCTCAGCCGCTGACCCCAAACGAGGCACGATATACTGGAAAACCGAAGGAAAACCGGGGGAGAAGACGAATGCAAATCGCATTAAGACGCGCATTTAATCTGCTTCGAGGCATCGCCTTAACCCCGCCCCAAGGAAAACGGAGAAAAACTAGTGGGAGGAGGGGGTGGTAAATCTAGGAAGAGGGCACTAAAATGTTGCCTTAAACGATTTTCCATTTTCCGCTGGGTCAGCGGGTCATCGAGTGGGCGAGCGGGAAATCGGAAAACCGGGAAAGCGCGCGAGATGAATGCAATATGGAAATCAATAAATAAAAACTACTTTTTTTCATTTTTCATTCAAGTGCTCAACGAGAAAATGGTTGTGGGAAAACCCGAAGGAAACCTTGTTTAAGTGTCGCCTCTGAAATGGAAAATCTTTTCTCTCTTCATGTAAATAACAAGTCTCTTTGAGAATTTGTTTGTTTACAAGAATTGAAGTGCGAACATAGGAAGCACTTCAAAGGGAGAGATCCTTAAAATAACTATTTTAAATGGAAAGCAACATCTGGACTTCTTATTGAGTTTAAACAAAGAAAATCCTTTCTCCGGTTATGTCACTTGCGCTCGTTCTCTTTTTATCGCTTATTTCGCAGCTGTCTGCACTTTGCCGATATAAAAGAAAACCGATTGACAGATAAATAAAAATGAGCCCACGCACAACAATAAAAACAACACGAAAATTCAAATGCACAGTTACAAACACAGGCAAGGTAAAGTGAAGAGAGTGAGAAGGCGAGAGAAGAGGAGCGGGAGAGAGCAAATATTATCGCAGTTATTACGAAATCGCAATCGAAACATAACGGTAGATAGCACCAATACAATAAAGAAAATTGAATTAGACAGAGGGGAAAGAGGTGGTAAGGTGGTAAGATGGTGGGTGGTAAAAGAAGAAAAAACGATCGCTCTCTTTTTCTCTCTATCTGTTTCTCCCTCTTTCACTAGCTGACTGCACAAATTGCAGTTAAACGAAAGAAGCTGAGAGGCAAGAAGACAAAGAATAAGAATAACTGGCTAAGAAGAGAACAAGAACTCAAGAACAAAATAGAAGAAAACACACACATGTGTATAGAGAACGCAAGGAGAGAGCAAATTAGAGAGAAAACGAAAGGTTCTCATTTTTGCACACATTTAACACTTTTATATTTAAATTTCAAATCATTTTCAATCGGGAGGAACAAACTCACTTGTTTTTTTTTCAGCCACGCATGCGCCGAACGAGATTTTATGCCCTACAGATTCCAATTGGAATTTGTACCCCGGCTGCAAAAGTTTTTTTCTTTTGCGTTGCTTCCACACTCACACACATATGCAGCGGCAAATACAAGTGCACGCACTGCAATCGGACAGCGTTTTTTTAACAAAACTTTATTTTATTTTAACCACTTATGTTTCTTGTTTTTCCAGCTATTTTCTCTCTTTTCCTGCTTTTATACACTTTTCGGCCTTCTTTTTCGTCGACTAGCTTTATATTTTTCACATGCACTTTTTAGCGACGCCAACACACACATGCACATACACACATGGCGAGGATGAGGAGAGAGAAAGAGAACAAACACCGATTGCCGTGGCTTCCTTTTTTCGCTTATTCCTCTTTAGCCGCTTATTTCCGATTCTGGCTCATTTTTGGCACATTTTTAGCGGCTGAATTGTTGGCAATACACTTTGCGTACGAACATAAACAATTAAAACGATTTAAGACGCGGCGAGTACGTTAAAAAGCCGAACAATTAAACACAAATCCAAGTTGTCTAGGATTTTTTTTGGTGAAGTCTGGTGCTTCTACCAGTTCCGTTAATCACTGAATTTAGTTAGCCGTTGCACATTTATTTGTTTATCGCGTCGCAAATTTTGTTCAATTTGCTCTGCACGCGCGCCGCAACGAACCTCCCGCAACAACAACAAAAATTAGAGTGACCGGACTGCGATCAAGGTGAAAACGATGAAGAAAAAATAAAAAGTTATCTACGAATTAATCGTGGTATATTTTTTATGTATTTTTTATTTAACGCTTCTATTTTAATTCATATCATTAATATAAAATGTATTCATTCATAAAGGCCGATTGCTGGCAGTGTATGTTTCTTATTTGAATCTACACATCACATACTATCGAAACTACGAACCCGCAAATCGATGTCGATTCTATCGATAGCTCGTGTTTTGGTATATACCAATATTGGCTAAAATTGGTTTGTTTTTGTTTTGCCAAACGTTGGCTGAAGAAAATCTTTTGTTTCATTGGATTTCAGATATAGATGTCGAACCGCCACCAGGACATCCCGATCCGCCCACGCTATGGCTACGTAAACGAGGAGAGTGGCCAGGGGGAGGGAGCACCAGCGAGATCCGGAGCCACTCCCGCATCTTCGTATACGGAGATACCCTTCTTGGCTCAATATCCGGGGGCAGTACCCGAACATGTTCTTCAGGATCTCACGCCAACGGCAGCCGGACACCCCGCAATTTCTGACAATGCTGGAAAGGTGCCAAACGGCGAGAGCTATGTAAATCTTGACTCCGGCGAGGACGACGATCCTGCGGAGGAGGACGATCCCGAGGAGGAGGACAACAGCAACTCAAACAGTAACTCGAAAGATAGTTCCGGCGACATTCAGAGGCACAGACTGAAGGCGGAGAGCAGTAGGACACCTTAGACAACCATTCATTCTTGGGAAGATTACATATTTTCCATTTCTTTGCAGATCTGCCCTATGAGCTGGAGGGCGCCAGTGACTCTGATGGAATGCGTCACTTTGTGGCCCATGATTTGGAGGCCAAGTTGCGCGAAGGAGGGGCTGCAGCTAGCGGTCACACGGACTATTCCTCTGAGCACACAACCCCCTCTACTTCCATGGGTCCCATGGGCGCCCCAACAGGCAACGGCCTTCTTACCCGAAGGTTCCTACAGTCTCGCAACATACCCGAGGTTGACGGCAGTGTCCTGAGCGACATTGAGCTGGAAGCCCAGTACTTGGCCACGTCGGTGGACAACCTGCTGGAGAATCTGGGCAACCTTCTGCACTCTATCTCCTCTATAACCGCCGACAATGTAGAAGTTCATCGGAACGCTGTCAACAAGCTAACGGACACTTTGGACGCAAACATCAAGTGCCAATACCAACTGCTGGCCAAGGCCGAGGAAATCACCAAGTCCATGAAACCCACGGAGCAGCTGGGTCAGCGCATGTAAGTGGGATAGTCCACTCCACACTCTCAAATCTAATGTGTATTCCTATCTCTGCAGCAGGGAGATCAAGCGGCTAGTCGACATGCTGGACAGCACCATGTAAAAGATCTGCGATTCTGTGACCTGGGCAATCGAATAGATTTCTTGTGTTTCTAGTCATTCCATAAATACATCTCAAAAAACCGAATTTGACTCACTACTAAAGGAATTACATATGCTACAGTTCTTTTAACAAGTTCAATCAGGCAGCTTCCTATTAGTTAAGATAGCTTTAATCTCACAGCTTCTCCACCTTGGCCTTAATTATTCTGAGAGGATCCACAGGACGATCGTTTTTGTCGGTTTCCACAAGCCCTATTCGCTTGACCACCTCCATGCCGGTGTAGACCCTTCCGAAGATCGTGTGCTTGTTATCCAACCACTGTGTGGGTGCAAGAGTGATGAAAAACTGTGATCCGTTGGTGTCTGGTCCAGAATTGGCCATCGACAGGATTCCCGCGCCCGTGTGCCTCAGATCGCCGTGCAGTTCGTCGCCGAACTCCGCACCGTAGATTGAGGCACCTCCACGACCAGTTCCAGTGGGATCTCCGCCCTGGATCATGAAGTCCCTGATGATCCGGTGGAACACCACGTTGTTATAGTAGCCCCTCCTCGAGAGCTCGGCGAAGTTTCTGCACGTGTTGGGGGCATGTTTCCAGTACAGTTCCACGGTGATTTCACCCATGCTGCGGGTTACAAATATTTCATTTTATCAAATAACCGAATATGATGTATTGGGTGCGCACTGTACGTAAAATATTTACACTCACCTGGTCTCCAAAGTCACAAAATGCGGCTGCCAAGCCTTGTCGGGAATGCCCGAGGAATTGCCGGTATCGGTTAGCGACAGCATATCTATTGTTTCTTTAATTTACTATTTTCCCGGTAAATTTAAGAAGTTGTTTGTTTACAAGTTGTTTATCACCGAGTTAACCCTCCTTCTAGTCACCTCCCAACACTGTTTTACTAAATGTTAAAATACAACAGATGTGTTATGTTGAATTATCCTAACATTTCTGTTAGAAATATTATGCTTTCTCTATCGGCCGTTAGGGGCGCGTTAGTCGCGATGGAAATGTTCGGAATCCGAACTTCGGATAGAATGTTGTACAATTTTGGCCGCCTTGGCGCTTGTTATTGTACAACGTATCTTTAAAAGAGCAGAGCAACTAAAGCGCCAATGCGGCATAAAAGAAAGAATACATTTTTTGTACAGAATGCGGCCACTTTAATTTCTCGATATTCGATTACAAATATAAAGCAGCTCTGCACCCAGTGGTATTTTTAGCGAGCTCCGCTACGGTCACTCCAGTTTCAAAATTCGACGGAAAAAATCGTGGAAAAATTTGCGGACGGAAATTTCGTCGGCTTGCGAGAAAAAAAACACAAAACAAAGGTGTTGCGTTGCGTGTGTGCGGGAGTGAGCGAACGCGAAAAAAAGAGAGAGGAACGGAATCATGGCGAGTGTTTTTTTATAATCTAATTTCCACAACACTCTCCACATAATCGTAAATGAAGCTAAAATGTAAGCGGAAATATGAAAAGCAATTCCCCAGTGTGTGAGTGTGTTGGTGTGTGTGCCAGAGCGTGTTTTTTGTTTGCTGTGTTGTGTTTGCTGAACGAGAAGAAGCAGAGCGATAGAGAGAAGAGAAACTCGAATGAATTGAAAACGATGAACTCAAAGTAGCGCACTAGTGTAGTGTGTGTGTGACAGAGAGAGTGAGAGAGGGCCATTGTGCACGTGTATTGGTGAGAAAAACAAAGAGCGAAACAATTTTCAATTGCATTTTTAACTTGTTTTCGCCATGGAATTGTTGCTCTACTTGTGTTTTTCATTTGCTTTTGTTAGCAACAATTTATTTACAGGGTGTTTTGTGCCAGCGTCTGTCGTTGTTTTTTGTTTAAGTTCTCCGCTGGGGGCGGTTTCCATATGGGAATGCTAGATTTTTCCACTGCTTTCCTTTAATGCGGGTAGATCTTTCCCTCTCTTTCGCTTGCTTAATTAAAGATTTTGTTTTCAAATTGTCTATCTGGGGAGTCGGTGAAAATTTAAAACATACTTCTATGTATATTTCATTTTTCTATAAATGTAAAGCACCAAAAATAAAAAAAAAAAACTAGCTATTGTTGTGGCCTTTTGCCTATTGGATTATTTCTTAAAATTTAAACTGGCCTATTTGATTTGTATTGTTATTACTAATATGTATGATAATAGGTATACGACTTCTAAAATTGGCATTTTAAATGTATGTTCTGAAAACAATGAAAAATGTTGTAAACAACGATAAGTGAGTCCATAAAGTTCAGCATCGAAATGAGTCTATGTACAACACGAATTTCTTCCACTTTCGGGACTTTCATTCCCTGGGGTAATTTTTATTGTTTGGGATTTATTGCCAACTCTTTTAGCATTTATCAAAACAAAAGCAGAACAACAACAGGCAAGCGGAAATCACTTCCTTTTGCCCTCCCCTTTTCGGCTCTCTCTCTCTTTCACTTATCCCTCTTGCTTATCCTCCTGTGACGCTGCGTCATCATAATCACCAACTCAACCGTTTGTCGATTCATCAAAGAAACCGCCGCCGGCTGGTCTCTTCTCTCTCGCAGCGTACGCGCTCTCGCCTGCTCATTCAAGGATACCGAAAGAGAGAGTCGGAGAGTGGGTCCGCTCTCTTTCTCCATTTCCCTCTGGGTTTTTTGTATGTAAATCATTTAAAGGGAAATTGTTGCACAACTTTAACGAGGAAAGGGGCGGGGTAGGTGGAAATCGTGTTGCGTGGGCGACTGCTTGTGGGTTTTCCCGGCTTAGCCTCTTCCGCACTCCCCTTTTGTCCACTTTGGCAGCTGTCAATTAAAGCTTACAGGAAAAAAGAAAACTCGAAGCTTCCATATGTTAGGTTCCCTCCCACGATTCTCCACCTCCAACAGCTGTTGGAAAGTTTTCCAAATGAGATTAAGTGTGGGGGGAGTGGAGAACTGGGGGTTCATAGCTAGCTTTATTGGCCTGTAATTGATGCCCAGGCTGCCAACCATATTGCTGATTGAATTGTGGCGTTCTCGCTGCGGGGAATACAAAAACGGGTGTGGACAACCTAGAAGACTGCTGACGTTGCCACCAAAACCCGTTTAAGCTGCAACTAATCGAGTCTTCTGTGGGTAAAACCCCGGGGACACAGACTCGTAAAACTGCTATCCTGCTGGGCCTGAATAAGGCCCGAAAATCCATTTCAGATTTAGGGCTCAAGGCAACATTCCGCTACATAATATCTTAATTACCTAAAGGACATCAAAACGATACATATGTTAACGAAGGGTACTAACTAGTGAGTTACTTGTTAGGTCTTCTTCATGCATATAACAACCCACGTTTGATCAAATTATTCAGTTTTGCAATTTGGAAACCATATGTTTTCTTTTGATCCTTTGCCGGGGAAACAAAGTTTTCCACAGCCACCTCCTAACCCTTTCTCCCAAGTGAACCCAACGGTTCCTTGGATAAGCTAAAAATATGTTTCACCCACACAACCATTTCCATCTCGTTCTATGTGTGTAATTAAGTCTGCCCACAACGCAAGTTCTACCTCTGCGCCTATTTTCACCCGGCGGCTGTTCAACGAAACCACTTTGTCCCATTCGCACATCACAACCCTCTCTCGGCCCACCGCAAAAAAAAAACTATTTCGCAAGGTGCCCCTTTGCCGGTTCTTGGCCTCCCTTTTGCGCTTTCTCCTTCCCTTTCGCCTTGTTTCTGCTGCTGACGAAAATCCTTACGTGTCAAATGGAGCCCCTCGCACTGTTAGTTGCCGCCCGGGAGGGGCATCCACGTAAGCAATCAAGCCGTGCATGAGCCTTCCGACGGGGAAATACCCCTTACTGTGATTCCTGGTTGTTGTAGATGAAGAAAGTCGTTTACATATCATTAATTTTCCACGTAGTTATTGCTTAATCAGTTCCAAGAACTGTGCTTAACATTAGTGGACATTCTTTTCTTTGTTTTCTGAGAAAATGTAGACAGCGGTGTCATAAATTGAGTCTTTATCTATCCTAAGAAGATTGACAAAGGGCGTGATAAATACTGTACTTTATCCAAATGGGTATTACCAATATAATAAGGTTAAGAAATAATCATAAGATATGACAGTGAGATGCATGCAACCGCAGGATGTTATACGGTAGCAAATGAAGGGAAAACCAAAACAACAACCACAGCGAAAGAAAGCAAAAATAATTTCGCGATTCGTCCCCCGGGCAGAGCTTTAAAAAAGTTGCAGATTGAGCGAGGGGCAACGGGGAGTGTGGTGAGAAAGGGGCGGCAGGACGTGCCAAAGAGCGAAGACGGGGCCTGCGCAGGCGCCCGGAAGAATCCAGAGAAAGAGCCAGAGCCGCGCTCTCTTTTTTCGGCTCTGTGGCAACAAAGTTTCGGTGCCTCCAGTTCCAAAGTGCCTCAATTCTTCGATTCAGAGTCTCCACAAACGGCTTCGCGAGCGGACGTTGCAGCCATAGAAAGTACACATAGCTGTTGAGGAAGTACCAGCTACAGAAAGCCAAGATATATATGTATATATATATATATATGTGTGTTGAAGCTGCTGCGAAAAAAGGTGCAAAACAAATTAAAATGCATAAATAAACACCAGACTAGCTGGCAGGTGTTTAGCGGTGTACATGTGTGTGTGTGTGTGTGCTTGTGCGGTGAAATATTACGAAAGAAAACCTTTTATGTTTTGCAATTTTCCTGCAAACAAATCAACGAACATAAATATTAATTTTGGTTACACCCAAAATGAGATGATGGACAATAACAGCAACAAGAAGAAGCACGGCAAACTTGTTTTATGCCCGGTTTCGGATTTCGACCTCTTCTTTTCCTTCTTCAACTTCTGCCGACGTCGGCGTCGTTAACTAAACGCCGTCGTATTAGTCGTCAGTTAGTGAGTGCGTGTAAATTGCCTGCTGCTGTACTTTGAGAGGGTATTGAATATCCAAAAGTCCCATTCTATGATTTCTAATATTTTCACAAGTCAAAAGAATGTATCAAGTACTGGGATGCTTCGATACATAACTTAGATATAACACTCTAATATCTTGCCCTTCAATCTACTAGTTATAGTACATGTTGCTTGTGTTGCTTAGCAATGTTTATGAGGTAAACTTATCTATGTTCTAACTAACATTCTGGTTAGCGGCAACACTCTAAGCGATATCATATCAAATTCAGATATAAAAAACCCGCCATAGAGATATTTTAGTAAATGTTTACTGGATATCTTTAGGATTCTAGATACTCGGCAGCTGGGAACCAAGAATCCATTCAATAACACAGCCTGTCCCTCTTCCACTGCCTGGGCAACCCATTAATATCTTCGGAACCGGCTTTTTGTTTGCTTTAATTTGTTGTTCCTTCTGGCAGATGGTGATTTTGTTGTTGTTGTTCTTTTGGTGTTTTTGGTTTGGTAACGAAAGTTGCCAATTAGGTTTAATTTTGGGGCCTCGTAGATTGCTTTGCAAAGTGCGTAGAAAAGGGTTTGCTGGTGTGTATCTGTGAGGGCGAGCAGTGCGCGAGTGTGAGTGTTGTTTGTGTGCTGGCCCAAGTGCGTAATCTCCAAAATGTTTTTATTGTTGTTTGTTGTTGCTTTTTCGTTCTTTTGCGGTTCTCGCTTTCGGCACCCAAAATTTGTTTGCCTTTTTTTATAGTTTTCTCTCTTTCACATCGCTTTCTGCGTAGTTTAAGTGCTGAACCGAGTGAAAAACATAATAAACTACAGTGGACTCTGGAATAAGCAGATCTGTACTTTGAGAATAAACAACTATTTGCGTAAGAAGATATACACCGAACTTGGGGTTTGATAAACCAAACTATTTAATAAACATATTTATGAATTCCATCACTTTGGGCAAGTTCTCTTGACGAGTGTTCTCTGTTCGTGTGATTATTGTGTGTGTGTGTGTGTTTGAACAACATACTTGAGTGGAAATTTTTAAAAACTAATTAAACTAAACTTGTATACTCCGTAGGCAGGTGTGTGCGTATGCGAGTGTTTTTGTGTTATTTCTGGAACGTGATTTATGGCGAATTTCAGTTGCAATTATTTCCATACTAATCGCTACTCCGTACTCTCTCTACTTGCAGATTCTCTTTTAATTTGGCATAAATTGTATTTGTCTTGAAAAAAAAGTATATTATTGTAAATATATTCTCTTCGTATAAAATTTTACTTAGAAAAAGTCCAAAAGTTGAAATTAAATTGAAATTTCAAGGGAGTCACTCGAAATTAGCCAGTGATCCAACACGTTTTGTGCATAGTTTGTAAGGAGTCGGAAAAGGCGAACGGAAAACCCAGAAAACCAAATGCAAGCCAACTGAGTGCGAGGGAGAGAGCCGACCACGCCAGAGCGGGATAGCATGCGCCAATGAAAACGTCGCACCATTCAAAAGCGTCCGATTTCGTTGACTACGCCGTTGCCGGGGGCGGGGGATCCGGATTCTGTCCGGGATTAGGAGCGGGATTATCAGCCAGGGCGGCGTCCTTCTACGGCGATCTAACGGTAACGGCAACTGCGGACGGGGCGCGTCATCAGCAGCAGCAGCAACAGCAGCAACAACAACACCAGCAACACTCGCTGCGTCAACCTGCAACATCGACATCATTATCATCATCTGCGGCAGCAACCAGCAAGCGAAAACGTCAGACAGGTGAGTGTTGCAAGCATAGTGTAGATATATATCTGTATAAATAGTAAGGCAAAGGGATGAATCACGGGTTATTTGTTTGCAATTTCAATTTCCTTCGTTTGATTGCACCTTTGCACAGTGATAACTCATCGATAGCTGACAATCGCTTGATTTGCTTTAGTTATCGTTATCACACACGCGCTGTGGCAAATACTCCGATGCTACTAACACTAGGCGCAGTATTTATTATTATTGGTTGCCGTGCCATATTTCTTGTAGGAACTCTTATCGCCTGATTTCCCTCACCTTCTCCCTTTTCCATTGTTGATTATCACAATAGACGCCATGGCAACTTTTTGGGCGAGAGCGAGGAGGCGATAATTCACATGGTTTGTCGCCGTTTCTCTTTCGGTTGTTTTGTATTTTTGGGTTTGTGGACATTCCCAGACTTTGTTCTGTATTGTTTTTTTTTTTTTTTCATACATTGTCGTTCACACTCTTTCACGCTATCCGCGATTACGTTTGCATGCTCGAACATGTCTGTCTTGGCGCTTGAAGAAATTTCCCTCCTATAATCCCTGTGAAATTTGTAGATGTGTTGACGTTTCCCTTGCTGCCTTACTTTAGGCGCATTTTCGCCGGGCTTTATGACTACTGTGAGGTATTGTTTGATATCTCACAAGGTCCCTCGTACTTCCCCAGCTCATTGAAAATTCCATCGGACGCAATTACCACCCCAATTGTCTCCCAATCTAGGTTTTCGCGTTTGAGCTTCTCCGCCACCTTGCCTCGCCGCATTTTCTGTATTTTCTGTGTTTCTTTCGGTTTATTTATTTTTCGCTTATTGCGACTTATAAAAATATTTCAGTTGTTTGCGCTTCCATCGCCGCCGCCTGTTGTCGTCATCGCAGAGTGGCTGGAATGTTTTTCATTTCATTTCGGTACCTTTTTCCCCTTATTTCTGCTCTTCCCTTCTGCGAATTGTTAATCTGGTTTTGTTTGGCTTGCCACTAATCGAGATAATGCTTACATACTATACGTATTTTTCACATTTTCGGGGGTTTTTGATAAGGGAACGCGATTAATATACTTCTGGTTTGTTGTTGGTCAGAGTTTTAGCTCGAAGATAGCTTGGATACAGAGCACAGATACACTATTCGAATCGCTCTTGATTTTCCGGCTGTCATTGAGTAGATATTTACTCGTACATCCACAATCTTATCGCCAGGAAAAGTTTGTAATTAATTTCAGGCAGAAGTACGGGAGATCATTGCCATAGGATTAATCTAGTTTTATAGGCCACAGGGATTATTGTTTTATTCAATAAGACGGTTTCATATTTGAGTTCTCTTTTTTGCGATAACAATAGTGAAAATCATCGTGATATCGAGCTTAGTTTTCTTCTCGTAGCCTGCACTTCTCACCTCACGTCTTCTCATTCTGCCCTAATTAACTTCTCCTTCAGCATTCTCGACTTCCTCCCGCAGACTATCTGTATCTTTTTGCCTGTCTGTCGATCAGCGGCATCTAAAAGTTTCCGCTTAGTTTGTTGCCTTTTCATTACTGCTCCGTACAGCAGCACTTTCGCCCATAAATCTCCGCCGGCTGCTAATAATTTGAGCTCACTGTGAGCCCTAACCCCGCAGAATTTCCGCGTCGCCTTTTCTCCCGGGGATCATGTTGAGTTTGAGTGGGTGAAAGGAGCTTAGGCAGCTGTGCAGGCAACCCAGTCTTCGGGTCCAGGTCTGCTATTTCCCCAATTTCCACAAGTCTCTTGCCGGCTCTATCCCCTGTTCTTCCCCTTGCTCCGTCTGCCTGTGTGGGCGTTCTTCTTTTCGCAATTTCACCCGGCACACACACAGATACACACTAACACAAAGCCATAACCGGTGCGCCTTGCCTACACTGGAGCCTGTGAGTTTTTGGGGTATCTCTGTTTTCTCCTTAAGGATGTTAATAATAATATTAATATTTCTATCGGAGTTTAGGGTAATAAGGTAATAATTGGAAATATCTTCCATTCACTTCTATAATAAATATGAACTTACTACCTTTTTGAGTATCAAGAGAGATGTTTCGTACGTTCTGAGGGGAAATTTCATAAAAACACCCAAAAGGGTATTCACAGCAATGGCCTTTCATTCGCCGTCTTGCTACTGTTCTCGTTTGCCTCTTCTTTAGGGTACCTCTAATAACGAGAATCTTTCACTTTGTCCCCTTTTCTGAGCAGCCTGATGCCGTTATTCTATGCTCTAGAGATGCCTCCGTGAGCGTGATAAGTAAATATGGGGTAATCACAATAGAGCAGTATGCATATATGGAGAATCAGAAGCACCCGTTCATGAAGCTACCCGAATTGGGCTGAGAACAGGTTCCACCGTCTGGGTTCCCGAAAACAAACAGGTTCCACATGTCGAACGTGTCCAAACTGAATCCCCAAAGGGAAATTGGTACACGCGTGCATCTCTCATTAAAACTCCGATGGCTCCCCGTTCTCCGGCTCCCTGTTTCCCTCCCCCTTGCCCCTCTAGCTCCTCTCTCTCTCTGTTCTCTAGCTACTTGGTTATGTGATACGTTAATGGCGTCTGCGTGTGCGTGTCTTTCGGTGTTCCCTTTTGCGACACGAAAAAAAAATCAGAAAATAAAGCCAAAAGCAGCGAAGGTTTCTTCAAAGACATTCTACCAAGCCCACGCACCAGCAGAAGACGCGGGGAGAGAACGAGATGGGGTTAGAAGGGAACGAGAGGGCAAGGCTCACATGTCAATCAGTCCCTTTCTGGCACGTTGCCTTTGCCGTCAAGAGACGTCCAATTTGGCTGGAAATGAATTTTTCACATTTCTGTTGGGTCTAAAAAATAAACATAGAAATCTGTCACTAGAATATCATCCTGAAAAGTATAAAGTATATTTGTATATCTAATTTGTTTGCCACAAAAAGTGAGTTTCTTCAGTCTTACCCCGGCAGTGAATAAAATTAGTTTAATAAACAACTTGTAAGCTTAAATAATGTTGAATCGTGTGATTTAGCTTGTTGAATTTGTTTTTATTTTTGGCCCAACCCGAAATATAATATTTGGCCACTCGGTGACATGTGAAGAAAAGACGAGAAGCGGGCAGAAAGAGACGAGCGAGAAATGTAAATGAAATTTCCATGCAAGACATCACGTAGGCTCAAAGTGCAGAGGCAGCGAAAAGTTGAAAACACGAAAATAGGTAAACAAAATTCAGGTTCCGAAATTCGGAATGGTTAAGTAAGCTGAAGACTCCGACCCGTTGCAAATTCATGAGGGAATGTTCTCTAGCGTGAATATCTTTTTGGCTCAAACTAAGGATCTGGCCAGGGGAAAATCAATATCAGATAGGAAATAGTTTCGTTATAACTCAAAAGTCAAAATTCGAGAAGGTCAAACGGGGCTTGGGCGGGCACTTAAAGGGTCCGCCACTCAGGAAAACTCGTGAAAATGACAGCTGTCCGTGATGACTGTATATATCTGCCAGCTACACAGATACTCGGACACTCAGATACTCAGATACACAGCTACACAGCTACACGGACACTCAGCTCAAGTCGGCTATGGCGAAAGCAAACATTTCAATTAACCAAACGCAAGGCAGCCGTAAAAAAGAGAGGCTAGATAAGTAGATAGACAGAGTGGATAAAGGGGGGGGGATGGGCGGAATTATCTTTATGCTGTGTATTTATTTTGCTTAGCTTTTCCCTCAATTATTTCTGACATGCCACCGATTTGACTTCTGGTGTTGTCATACGTGGGCCATATATTTTCTGATATTTGATGGATCGGATGGGTCGGTTAGAGTCGAGGCCAGGCAGCAAATTATATGAAGAATTTCTGAAATCAATTTTGCAATTTTCCTACAACACCGCACACGATCCCATCATTAGTAACTCAGTTAATTGATGAATCTAAATTCAACTTTGCCATTCTAATTTGCCATATTTTAATTTGATTTTCATTCCCTTTCATTACAGGTAAGCAAAAAGCTATTAGACGATCCCCATGAGGTGCTTGCCTAAGTGAGTTTCAATTTGATTAATTCGAATATGATAATCCCCGGGAAGATCTGAACTTTCTGTATGTAACCGAAGCCGATTTCGTTCACGGTTAGATGGCTTTCGGCCGCCTCTTTACGTCTTTCTCCTCCTGGATGTACTCGTACATACCCGTACATTGATTTCGACTTTGTCGGTTTTTTTGTTGATTTTTGAGCTCGAGTCTCGTTTCTCTGAAAGATCTTCGCTGGGCGGCAGCAGCACCAGCAGCTTTGAGAAATCGGACCAGTTTCAGAACTTGTTTCGCGTGTCTGTGGACGCTCATTGCGCATACAGTTGCCAGTTTTAATTGAGTTTGCAGTCCCCGAAAATGAAGAAAGAATGCCGGGGATGCAATAGTCGACTGACAGATACCTTCTACCTAAGGGAAAAGGGTTGACAAGGAGGAGTTCAGCCTATAAGCTTATAGAATATCTTCCTCATTTAATCTGAACAAAAGCAGTCGATTCATAATTACCCTTGAGACCCACAATTCAAGGGTACAATAACCAGCAACTTCAATTGGCCATTAAACGCCGCCTCCATTGCCTCTCTGCTGCTGCTTTGGAGTCTCCACTCTTTGGTTGGCAGCTTGAGGAACGGCACAAATGGAGGTCAACTTAAAAATTTATTAAATACTTAAAAGAAACACAAAATAAAGAAGAAGTAAGAAGCAGCCAGAAGAAAATTCGCCAACACGAGTTGGTTTAAAAGCTTAACTTCTGCAGCTCCCCCTACTTTGTACAGCTGCGGGCAATAAAATGTTGCAGGAAAAATGATCAAAAGAGGTATCTCACAATCTCACAGCTGGAGAATGCGTGGCAACTCCCGAGTCTGAGAAGAACCTATCTGAAAGTAGAAATCTATATTTGTGTTTGGCTGGCTTAACCCATTTAAATACAAATGCTGTTAATGCTACCACGTTGACCTCAGGTGTGTATCCCCTTTAGACTGTAGAGCGGTAAACCTT